TCTCTCTCTCTCTCTCTAGCAAAGTTCGTGCCTCATTGATTTGTTGATTGGTTGATTGATCGTGCAGGTTTGTTCTGCATTTCAACAACATCAGTTCAGTCACGATCGAGGGGAGCATACGTCGTTATCAATTGCTGTATTTCTTCGATCGCACACGCCAGGTCGCAGGCTTGTAGGGACGGGTGGGTAGAGGGGGGAGGGGGTGGCGGGGAGGGAGCGTGGACATGGCGCGCAGGCCGGAGTTCGTGCCTAATGAAGACTTCGAGAACGACCCTCGGCCAGAGCATGTCATCTGGAAGTATGTGAAGAAGGGGCAGGTGTGGATCAGCCCTTCGGGAGTGGACCCGAAGGGCAATCATGAGCTACGTTGCAGATTGTGTGGTCACTGGTGGGTCGGCAACCAGACCGAGGCCAGCCTGCACTTCAACACCGCACACGAGCATGACGGATGCCCGCATGCGTGCGTGTACATTCTAAGGGAGTTGCAAAGGGCGGGCATAGCCTTGAAGGGTTCGCTCCCTGTCTATGTGCAGGAGGCTGACAGGCAGGGTGAGCTCGATTTCGAGCATCCCCTCAACTGGAGATTGCCTGGTCGTGTAGCACGACAACCCCCCCTGGTCCCTGCGTGTGATCTGGCACAGGGACGAGGGCGGGCAGACCGAGAAGTTCCGGCACCGGTGGTACGGCAGGACGCGCGCCCCTGCGAAGGAGCGGGGGCCTCTGGAGCAGCGGGCCCGTCTAGTGGAGGGCGAGAGGGAGCAGGAGAGGGCCCGTCAGGGGTAGAGGGAGCAGGAGAGGGTTCGCGTGGGGGAGGGGACGAGTGGGACGAGACAGAGCGTGTAGACCATGCAAGGGCGAGACAGTTTGATCCGGTGGGGAAGAGGCCGCATGGTGCTTCACATTTGCAACCAGGGAGGAGATGGTGTGTGCCTGAGGGGGTTGATGGCGGTCCGTGGGACGAGCAGCAGTGGTGGAGGGAGAGGATGCTCCAGCGAGAGAGAGATGAGGGCATACCTGTCCCTGCCGACCTCGAGGAAGGGCTGGCTGCAGACCCTGCGGAGCGGAGACAGGCTCGGCACCGAGTGCCCAGAGTGACCCACACTCGTTTCGATGGTTGGGTCGAGCACCCCACCCAGTACGACCTCGACATGGCGTACATCAGATTCTTCGTGGGCTGTGATATCCCGTTCAACGTCGCTAGATCAGAGTGGTATTTGGCTTTACACGACGTCTACCTCTGTCAGTTCAGGGGTCCGTACCGACCTCACTAGCCGGGGTCTAAGTTCCTGCGCACGACTCTGTTGTCCCTGTTGTACGAGGAGCTCGATGAGCGCTTGCGGTATCACCGAGAGTCGTGGTCTGAGGGGGTCATTTTCATGACAGACGGCTGGTCAAATCAGGCCAATTGCCCTCTCTGCAACTACTTGGTTGCAGGGAGGTTGGGTGCATCCCTGTACCGTGTTGAGGATATGTTTGGTAGGGAGCGACCGGAGCAGGTTTGTACCTTAGATGGAGGGAGCTCATCCTGGAGATCGACGCTCAGCATGTCGTAGCGATATGTACGAACAACGCGTTGGCCAACAAGGAGGCTTACCGTTTGCTTTGTAATGACCAGGATCTTTCGTTGCGAAAGATCGCTTGGATCCCTTGCGCAGCCCACTGTTGCAATTTGATGCTCACGCACATCGCCAGACAGCAGTGGGTAGCGCAGGTCATCGAAGAGGGGCGGGATATTACTTCGTTTTTTCGGCGGCACTCACGGGCAGCGTACCTCCTGAGTCGGCAGTCTCCACCTGTGTTCTTGATCCGCCCGGGGGAGACACGGTACGGGACCAACTTCATCATGTTGAGGCACATGAAGGAGTTGCGTGCATTTTTGGATGGTTGTTTTAGCACCAGTGCCTCGGAGACGACGGTGTGGCTCCCCGCATTGAGGGACGGCACACGTAGGTGCTTTAACCTTCTCCGCGATCCGCGGTGGTGGCAGAAGGTGGAGCTCGTTGCCACCATTATGGGGCCCATTTACGAGCTCCTTCAACAGGTTGATTCTGACGGGCGCAGGGTGGGCGACGTGTGGGGTCTGCTGGACAGGCTGCGGATCACGGTCGATCGACTGTCTCTTGACGAGGCTTGTCACGAGCCCATCAAGAAGATAGTCAAGGAGAGGTCAGATATGCTCCTCACCCCGATTCATTGCGTTGCACACCTGTTGCACCCCGAGTACCGCAACATCGATACCTTGATGCGAGGGACAGTACATCGTGAGCCAGATTGAGGGAGGCCGAGAGGGCGACGAGATGACTGTCGTATGGAGTTCTTTGCAGGACTTCCACAACAAGTATCCCACACCTGGTCATTGGGGAGGACCCGTCGGAGATGCGGAGATCGAGAGGCCTGACTTTGATCCCCTGAGATGGTGGAGATTTCAGGGGTGTGAGCATCAGATACTGCGAGATGTCGCCATGTGCTGCTTGGGCGCGTGGACCACTGCCTCTCCCTGTGAGAGGAATTGGTCCACACACGACTTCGTGCACACGAATAGGCGCAACAGGCTGGGTGTCAAGCAATTGGAGAAGCTTGTGTTCTGTCACTGGAACCTCAAGCTTCTCCAGAGCAGTCATGCGCATGGCGGGTTCATAGGGGCAGGCCTCCTAGGGGTCGAATTGACTGATGTGGAGAGGAGGGCTGAGGACTACTCTCGTTTTGAGCCGGACGTGATGGCCCCAAGGACATACGACCCGACAGAGATGGAGATGGAGGCCAATCGCCTCAGGAGGCAGTCGAGGGGCAGACGCTTGACGCGGGCTGCAGCAGCATTGGCCCATAAGATTCTCCAGCAGGGCGATGACACGACCCGCGGGGAGGATGTGATTGACAATGATGTGTCGTGGTTGCCGGGGCTTTATCGAGGGGACGGGTTTTTGGATGTCGAGGCCCCTGCGACTGTGAGCCCTGCAGGTAGGATGCTCCCACCACGTGCCCCGGTTGACGATGGAGCCCCCTTGCTGGCACACCTGCCCCCGAGGCAGACTCACACATCATTCATGGAGACGAGTTTCCTGAAGTGTCGGGCGGCGCCGGCGCAGATGATGGAATCGGGGGGGATGGTATGGTGGGGCAGCTTGATGCAGCGACTGCCGCACCCCAGGAGTCCCATCAGCCCAGGGAACCCGCTACTCGATCTCCCACTCCAGCAGCCCTTCAGGGCACGCTTCAGCCGTCTTTTGTGGCAGGTACTCTTGAGGGCACATCGTCCCAGTGCCCCGCCTCGGCTGCTGCCACCTTTCCTAGCCCCCACCGTGCGGTAGAGTATGACTCTTAGAGGAGGCTCAGACGACGAGCGGGTTTCACAGGTCCGCTAGACTTGTGGACAGCATCGGCTGTCTACTGCGATGCCGAGAGGGATTTTGCGGCGTACTTGCCGAGACCGTTGTCTGATCTGCCGCGAGTTGACCCTGATGCGGAGACTGGCGGTGCGGACTGTGCAGAGCCCGTTGGTGGGAAGGCTGCTGTTGGCGAGGCTGCCTCCAGAGAGGGAGGCGTGGAGAGGGACAATATCACACACGACCTGGCAGCCGTCGGTTACTCGCCAGAGGAGATCGAGCAGGCATTGGTGGGGTCCCCTCGGAGACATGGACGATGCACGCCGCAGCAGGGGATGTGCACACGCCACGGGGCGGATGGTGGAACTGCACGCGTTTCTCCCTTGCTCCCGTTGCCACGTCCAGATTCTTCTTTGGCACTGGGGATCGCAGGCCCCGGATCGCAGCCGCCTCCCACGATGGATACACAGGGTGCCAGTGGACATTGCAGCGGCACAGGGGCACACGACTCCCCAGGCACTGGTCTTCGTTGTGCAGCCACCCCCGCGGATTTCGGCGCACATGCGACGATGCCGTTGCCGCCCAGAGACCCCTCAGTCGTGATCGAGCCGATTCGATCGTTCGTTGGTCGCAAGAGGAAGCCTGAGAGTGTCGCGGGAAAGGAGGTCAGGGGAGCTGCAGGTTGTGGCGGAGGCCGAGGCCGGCCATCGGGAGTGGGGAGGTGCGCGGGCGAGAGGGATATGTCAGGACAGGTACGCTGGAGAGAAGTGGGCCGCGGGAGTGGAGAGGGACGTCCCAGGGGCCGGCCACCGGGATGGGGGAGAGGAGAGGGACGTGCCACGACACGTGGGGAGGTGGACCACGGAGGAGAGCGCTCGCAGATGGAAGAGACGTTCACGCGGATGCATCGCCGGTCACATCATCGAGCTCCGAGGCCGAGGAGGGCATAGCGCTGCGCATCACTAGGAGGTGTAGGGAGAGGCGACGACGATGGCAGCACTAGCATCCGCGGCCACATCAGGCTCGAGCACATCGGTAGTATCGGGCGACCCGGATTTCAAGGGGGGTGTTGAGGAGGACTAGGAGGAGGCAGAGGTCGATGCAGACATTGCGGCGGGAGGGGGTGATATGACCGTATAGTTTTGTACATTTTTTGTTTTGTGTGGGGGTGTGCGCAGTGTGTGCAGCGTGTGTGTTGATGATCTGTGTAAATGCATTTTATGGTGGTCTCAGCACATGATAAACATGCACTCCACCTACTGTCACGACACAGAATACACTCCACCACTATCCCTAATGCCCTCATACATTCACAGGCTAGAACCTCTATATACCCAGGCAAGTCATTTAGGCAGATGGTAGCTCGAAAACAACAACAACAACAACAAGGCACAACCAACAGCGAAGCAAAAGAGATGGGTTGGAGGGCACGAGGGAGGCGGGTGGGCAGACAGACGGCATGGCGCTAGGCAAACAGCACAAGGCAGCAAAAAATATAGGCTGGAGGGTATGGGGGAGGTGGGTGGGCAGGCAAACAGCTCAAAACAACAAAGCACACTGGGTGAAAGGCATGGGGTAGACGGATGGGCAAGCAAACAGCGCAAGGCAAAACGGGAAACAACAGCAAGACAAACGATAACAAAGCACAAACAACACATGAAAAACAATACAAGTATAAACAAGGCAAAGACTGGAAAGCACGAGTGATATAGGATGGCAGACAACAACAAGTACACAAGGCAGGCAAATAAAAAAAAATACAAGTCCATAAGTTTCAAAGACCGAAAAAAATCATAAATAAAACTGATGATGAAAGATTGTTTCGTCGGAATTGCACCGACTCATCAGGAGGCTGAACCCTCGACAATCTGCGGGAATCTTCGTATGAGATGGTTTGGGTGATGAACCCTATGACCCTTGTTGAAGGCAGACTGTTCCCAAGCGGAACATAGCAGCGGGCGGCGACCCTGTGGAGCACCAGGCAGCACAGTAGAGGCAACACGGCTGCACAACGCCAAAAACGACTGCAAGGAAAGACATGGCACGCAGCGCAGAAATACGAAAGGCAGGGCCAGCGGATGGGAAGCAAGGTAGCGGAGCAGCGAAGCGCAAGACAACACCGACAACACAGCCACACCACACAGCGAACACAACAACTTGCAGAGAGCAACATGCAAAGCAAGCGGGACAGGCAGCAAGGTGGCGGTGGTGCGCAAATGAGGCAGTCCATGCATCCAACACGGAGCAAAGCAGCGCATTACATACTTACATCATGATTGATCCCTGCAGACTGTTGGTTCCCACCACCCACTGAGGCAAGGAGACACCCCGACGAACATCCGTCATCACCTACTTGTAAACACAGACATCCTGAACCGAGCGGCCCCCATAAGAGTGCAGTAGGCACTCCAAACGAGGAACCACCGACTGTTTGGCACGACTTAAGGGTGCTCAGTTTGGGTAAGCAAAAACACAGAAAAAGATCAGGGGGAGGACAGACAACAACAGGAAAACAGACAAACAGACAACTGATTGTGTGTGTGTGTGTATGTGTGTGTGTGTGTGTGTGTGTGTGTGTGTGTGTGTGTGTGTGTGTGTGTGTGTGTGTGTGTGT